AGTTATGCAAGATATGTTTATAAAAACATAAAGTATATCTTATTCTAATTAGGATCCCAGGCTTGTGGGTGTACGTGATATGGAGATTTACTATGAGGTACTCAACTATGTCCATAAGAAAGATAATTCAGATTCACTATTTTGAAGGAATATCTATCCATGTCTTTTGCCCACAAATACATGAAGCATTTGTATTTTTGTTTTAAGGCTTGAGAATTTTACTGGTGTGAGTCTGTACCATGTACAACCAGAGGAAGGAAATCTTGTGCTCCATTTGTGTACAATGTGTCAAAATGCATTCTATTGTTATGTATAACTAATTGGAACGAATTAAAAATAAAAGAAAAAAAGAATTTTTAAATATTTTAAGTGAAAAATAATTATTCTATATTCTTTACACAGTTTCTTATCAGATTATACTTTGTAATATATTTGTTCTGTTCTATAGATATCTTTTCACTTTCTTGATAGTGTCCTTTGAAGCACAAAGTTTTTAGTTTTTTGCAGTTCATTCATATCATGGGAGGTACTACATATCCCAACAATTAAAATGAATGAATTGCATTTCAAAATCTTAAAATGTATTAATCTCTAAGCTGTAGTGTTCACAAAAGAAAGAAATTGACAGTAGATGCATGCAACTTGATGCCATTTATATAAATGTTAAAACCTCAACAGTTTTTGGAAACCTAGCTCAATAGAGCTGGTATTGTGGCAAGCATCATTGTTGGAGACTTAGTTTTTCTTTGCTGCTGAATCATTTGCTTAGCTTGCATTGTCAGATTCTTTAGCTCTTTCCCTGAGGGTAGTAGCTTCACCATCGAGTCTCTCTGAGTCATGATGGCGTATACCCAATAGTTGAAGATTCAATCTTTTTGCAATTCAAACTGCATATAAACTGTCAGGATAAATATTGATGGACTCATTTGCCAAAAAGACATAAAGCAAAAATGAGAGCTTAAAGTTCTGATCATTGGCAGAAGAAGATAAAGTTTGTATCACCTCTGTATGAACATGACTATAAAACCTGCTTTACCTGAGCTTGAGCCATCAGTGAATACCATTAGTGCTCTATCTATTGGATGTGCATACACAATCTCTGGAATAATAAGTGTAGTTACAAATGCAAATTGAATAATTTTATCACAAGAATAATGACTTTCTGTCTGACAAGGAAAATTAGCAAAAGCTACTTGCCAATTATTACAAGTTTGGAAAAGCCAATCATTCTGTTGAGCAGAAAATGGAATGATTATAATATTAAGTTCTGATCCAACCAGCTATAAAACTCTGCTTTTGATTACTAATTGAGCAACCAAATAATGAAAAGGAGTTAAAGACCTTTGAGAAGAGTAAGCTAAATAAATCCAATCAATAACTTCTATATTCCTCCTGTAGGAAATTAAGTAGTGGTGATATCAATAAATATGAAGGCCCTTGTGGGTTAATTCTAATAAGGTGAGCATTTTTAATAGCAATTTCAACTTTGTTCAAAGCCATTCTTGCTTCTGCTCTGACATGATGAAAAGCTGGAGAAGGTGCTCCCTGTAATATCTGGAATAAAAGACTTAAATCTGAAGAAATTAGCTTTAAAGATGGCCTCAGCCAATTTATATCACCTAATAATTTTTGAAAATCCTTAAGAATGTCAACTCCTTTTCTCTAATTTGTATGTTTTGAGGACAGAATGTACTTCCTTTAATCACATGACCTAGATATTGAAAAGGAGATGTCCTCTGTACATTTTGAGGTGCAATGCACCAACCCATTGCTGTGAGTGAGGTCTCTAATTGGGCAAAGAAATTTAGGAGTACATTTGAATTAACATGATCTCAAAGTATATAATGCATAAAATAAATAATACAAATATCAGGAAATTTCTCCCTCACAGGCATGATGGTGTATGCTACAAAATTTTGACAAAGGGTAGGACTGTTACACATTCCCTGAGGCAACACTTTCAAGCAATATCTTTTAATTGGTTTTTGAAAATTTATTCCTTGGACACTAAAGACAAACCTTTCACAGTCGTCTGGGCATAATGGTATACAAAAGAAACAATCTTTTAAATCTACTACTATTAAAAGAAATCCAAAGGGATAGCTGTAAGAGAAAGAAGCCCTGGTTGTAAGGCTCTGTGTGCTTGATAACACAATTAATTGCCCTGAGATCTTGTAATAAT